GTAGAATTAAGCCTTTCGTGATGGCTCTTTTGTGACAACATTATGGTGTTGCTGAGTCAGCACAATAATGTGATGCGCCCATCGTGTGATTATGTAAAGCCTCACGAATTAAGACAAGTTAGTTTTACTTTTTGTGAATGGAGGGGGCGAGATGGATCTAAAAGATACAAGTCTTTCCTTCATAAGTATCAACAGTTCGGTACCTCTGACCATTTACAGTCATTCAAAAGTGAGAGATAAATTCCCTTCATTGTGCAAAGCAGTATTACAGTCGTCCCTCGGATAACTCATATCTGAGTAGTTCATAACCTCGTATAACTAATACTAGGTGGAAGCACCAAGCTTATTTGTATGTAGCCAAGTACTAACTCGTAACTGGTAAAATAGGAACCAATTTTGAGTTACTCGAGTATATAGCGCTTTGCCTGAATCGCTCCCTTCGGGTCTTTCTGTCATATGGGCATCAAGCGGCGTTAGATACTGCATTAATTAACAATTTTTACAAACAAAAATTCTGTTGATGTAGCTGACAATGAAGTGCCAAGCAATCACGCTGGACCAATTTGAAACCAGCCACGAGCTATGGTAGTCTGGACTGTCGCTGTCGTTTTGAGAGATTTGTACAGCTCTCGAATGCTCCTGCGTAATACTCTATCTGTGGGATTCGTCACATCCTTCAGTGAAGCAGTAACTGCTAGGCTCTTTACCTTTTCAAGATTTTGACTATCTGCTATCCACATCTTCGTTTGCTTGATCGTCATTCTCCTCTTCTTCCGCCTCCTAAACCATGGTTAAAATCTCATAGTCATTCAACTCAAGATTGGCTGTGTCGTCCTCTATCGCTGGCCTCAAAAGCTCTTTAATAGACATGGGATTATTAAGAAGAATCCTTTGAATAGCATTGCACAGGTCGCTTACATTGTACTGCTAATCCATGTTGGGCACCGATATTTGAGAAGGCCCTGCAAAGAGACCAGTGTGGCGAAAACAATTGGCCACGGTAGCTACTGATATCTCCTCCCAAGCAGCTTTGCTCCAATTTATTGCGCTTGATTGATCTTATAGATGTCGGTTGTACCTCAACGGTCCCGATCAGCAGCAATTTGAGCGTGATAACGTCTGTAGTGTCGCTTGGACGAGCATCCATGGACTGGATCTTAGTCGTGCAGTTTGGAGAAAGAAAGACCACCTCTACATTATTCACCTCGTGATCGTCGGCTATGTGGTATCGAGTAAAAGTAGGAAAAACCTATCTTTGGCCTAAAAACAGTGGTTGAAATAGTTGAGAGCACATCTAAGGCGTTTACATATTGGGCTTCGTATCATTGTCAAGCCTTTTCAGCCAGGGCGCCGGTAATCCTCGCCTTCTGATTGCTGCGGTGATAGAAAATCAATTGCTTTCTTGTCTTACGATTGGACAGCGAGGCTTATTAGCCTTTCCAATGAACAATGACTTGAGCCTCTCTGCCCCATCTACGCTGGCAGCAAAGTCAATAGTGATGCGGTTTCATGATTCGGAAGGGAGAATAATACTTTAGTCAACCTTTATATAGAAGACCATGATCATATGCAAACAAACTTTCTTTGTCTTGTCTACGTCCTTCTATCTGCGGATGTACGATGGTCTTCTTTGGAACCATGGAACGAAATAAACCTACGAAAGTATTAATTAAAGAGCTTCCATGTTAAGTAAGTTGCTAACATGCATACCAGCTTGATACATGTTGAACTCATCTTTCAGCTCATATCGAGCGATGACTGCTAAAAGCGCAGCATCAAAAACTGTCCGATCTGCTGCACCACTCTCATCATGGATTCTGATGCAACGCAGCTTGTTTCTTTCTTGAAAGCATTGCAGTTACCGATTGAAATATTTGCTTGCATCCTCGCGCAAGCGACGACGGTCAGCAAAAAATTTTGCTTTGGTTTTGATGACATCTCCAGTGATGGCTACATGCCTTGTCTGGCATTAATGCACCCATGCTGCCAAGGCTTAATCGAGCTGCAGGTGATGTGCAACGCGGAGCCGTTTGGTCGAATGCTCAACCACTGTCATGGCCTCGAATTCGCGACCAGCGGGGCTGCGGTGGCTCTTTGCTTAGAGAAAGCTAAGCTAAGGTCACCGACCTCACGTTCTATACAAGAACCAGTAAGAGTGTAGCGGATCGCAATCCGCTACCTCCAAGAGTGCTTCAAGCCTTTACCAATTTGAAGACGCTCTTTCATTTAAATTGAGACTATAATTATTTGTTTTATTTGCGGCAGAGCCGTTTATATCTGAAGCCTTACGTTTTCCTAATTAAGTAGTTAATCCTGATTCGTTTGCAAAACTACTGGCAATCCTGCCACGTAGTGGCTTCTTGTTACGGTGTAGCCACACTATTGTGTGATTACATCAACTTGTGTAATTCACACCTTTTTACGGTCGCATTATCTCGTGTGACCCCCCCTTTCTTACATAAGTACGTGTAACCCCGTTACACGTTCCCCATCAAAATTGTGAATACGCGCAATTCAATTTTTCTATCGCTTCATACTAGGCTTGCGTGTCTGAGACACCGTTACGTCCTCAAGAACATCTTTGAATATTCTCCACTCAATGGTCCCTGTGTCTATGATACGAAAAGCACCCAGCCTAGCTAATTCTGAGGACTCCCGAGGGCAAAGCCCTTCTTTTTTCTTCTGCACGGGGTGCATTTCCGGACAGTACGTTTGCGGCTTCACGGGAAGCACATCTCAAGCTCTCGGCGAACGAGCTCTACACACCGCGCCCGCCCCGGGCGACGGATTTTCTCGTCGAGGATTCGGAGGAAGTCGACTACGAGTTGGATACTTCTTTCCCTCGTATCCACGTTTGGTCCTAGACCCTCCTGTGGAATACGAATTCTGCTCGGCGGATCCCGCTTCTGAACCGAAAGACGCGATCACTCAATCATTAGGCGTCTACGTAGTTGGGCATCCGGCTTCTACACAAGCTAAGCTTGACAAAATGAAAGCTCTCCGAGTTCGCTTCCTGGTGTCCCAACAAATCCCAATGGATAGGTTCCGCGCTCGACTTCGAGCTTAAAGAGGAGGCGCTCCTATTCACAATGCGGACTTCTCCTGAAGTGCTCGTCCCTAGTGAAACTGCTGCAGATGATGCGGGGCTCTTTGAGCGATGGGTGCAGCGACACCGGAAACTTTTCTCGCTGTCTATCTTACAGCGAAGCCACAAGGAAGTGTTCGTGCGTGTTAACAGCCATCTTCGATTTGAGTTTGCCAAACTCAAGGCGCAACGCCGTCCTTCTGTGTATTGTCGCCCCGCGACACATGGAATCATCCATCACAGTTCCGCGAGCTCTATGGATTCTCACACGGGTAAGTCTACAAACACGGCAGCTCAGGGCCATAGTTTGAGCTCAGCTCATGACCCTCTGGCTTCCTAAGCTTCTGCCGAGAAGCGCGGGGCGCACGACGACGCGAAGCGTCATGAGCCGTGTGCTCGAGAACTTGGAACACTTAAAAAACCGACCGCCTCACGTTGAGGATTTACGCGTACTGTTGGAGTGGCTCCCAGCCGTCGAGCAGACGAATACATCATCTCGTGCGACGGTGGAGCGCTTTGCGCCGTTGAAATTAGAAGTTTTTGCACGCCGTATTCAGAACAAGTTGCTGGTTCAGCTTTTGGGTGGTTGAGCGTCTTTTGGACGCCACTCCGGCGCCAATGCTGCCGCATTCACTTGCGCCGAATCCCGAAACGGCTTCAGCAGGCCCACATAAAACATTGGACGGTTGCGGATCTTCTCGAAAGGCTTAGCGTATACGCAAGGCCTCGCTTGGCCGCGACCTTAAGTGGTCCAATAAATCGTAGACAGAGCTTTGTCTTAAAGACAACAGAGACTGTATGTGTAGGAATGCTTTAAGCTTCTAATATAACCAGGTCTCTGATCTCAATGTTTTCAACATTTCCTCTTCCTTTTCTGTCTGCATATTGCTTCTGTATGTCTTGGCTTTTAGCCATCACATCGAGAACATACTTAGTCTGGTAGACAGAAAGTCATCGACCTCTTTACGGACAGTGAGGGGGCTGACATCAGCTAGCCCTTCAGCCCTTCCTCCCCCATAAGCCCTGAGCCATGGGATGTGGGCGTGAGCGGGGCACGAGGATGAACAAGCCAGCTCACGTAGAACAGCATGTAGCCGGTAGATAAATGCACTGCATTGTTCAGCGCAAACTTTACGAGTGGCAGCATGGCGCGTCGGTGCTTCTGTGTCTCAGCGCAGACGCTGCAAAGAACGCCTTTAACGGCGCGATTCAAAGGCTCAGTTTGACCATCGGTCTTCGGATGGCCCGCTGTGGACATATGCCCAGTACCTTGAAGAGTAAAGACCAAAACTTCCTAATGAAGCGCTGGTCTGTATCAGAACCAATTGACTCCGGTAGACTGAGTCGAAGTGCGTAATGACGCATGATCTGTGTAGTTCACAAACAGCTTTGAGCCAAGCAGGTGCACCCTGAACTTGACAAGTGCATACTTCAATGCAAGAAAGTCTTGGTTGTGGACTGGGTAGCTCA